CACACCCCATTCACTTGGAGAATTAAGCTTCCTCCTTAACAATTTGAGATTATACCTCTACAGTGAGTCCCATTTTCTGGGTTTCCTCATTACCCTTTATCTATCACTGCCCATCCTTAAGACCCCAGATTATTAAGTGCCTGTTGGCAACATATGGGGGTTTCTCAGTCATTCTCAGCAAACCTTGAATTTGTCCAGTCCATGTAAATGAAAACCAGAAGGGTCATCGTACAGTCAGTTAGATGGGTGGGTCAAGTTATCATCAATCTTTTTTCTTGTCATAGTCTCAACTAATAGTTTATGTCTGAAATAATGTACAACTATTTTGAGAAATTGCCTTTTACATTAGACATACATGAAGAGAGATTTCAGTTTGTCAGTTTTTATCAGTATTGTATCCTCTGCCTCACCTTCAAATTTTGCTAGTTTAAATAAGAAGACTATGTTCATGGCAGTTAATTCATCTTAGTCAGCATAAATTTAGGAATATTAGCCATAGACAGCAGATGTGTGGATGCAGATTTTGTGTAGTGCAATCTAGCTTACCGGCAGGGTCGAGTCAGATATCCCATAAGCATTTATGGAAGTCAGGGCTAAGGAGTGGAAACAGCTGGGCGTTGGGGTCCCTGGTTTGTATTTGGTGGACACAGGCAGTGGTTCTGCTACCAATGTAAAATGTGGATGTTAAAGTTATTTCATGGTAGCTGTGTTTGCCCTGCTGAAAGGGAAGAATAAATGCAATGTAGTGCCAGATGGATTTATATACCGCAGGATTTTTTTTTTATATCCTTCTTTCTGGCTCCTGAAAGCTTCATCAGTAAAAGCTGGCCCAGTAATATTACTTTTGAGTATCATTGAGTGTAAAGGCAGATGGGTAGGTTTTAGATCAGTGGCTAGCAAATGGGGTTCACAGATATTGGTGTACTTCAGCTTCCAAAAGCTTTGACCAGCCTGGCTAGTAGTTAGAGATTCTGGGATTTCTCAGCCAACGTAACAGTTGAGGACCTAGGTTTGGTGACTTGTGTTCTAGATTAAAGAGAAAAGAGAAAAGAGATTTAATCCCCCCCCTTTTTTTCCATCTTGGGGTGTATTATATACATGAGAGGACGTGTAGCTGTCACACGTCATTGAGGTAAACTAAGGGCAAGTTCTTGTTGCTTTAAGGTTTGTTTGTTTTTTTTTCTGAAAGAATGGCCTCTAAAGGCTCAGAAGAAAAACAGCATGTATTACGAGTGCTGCGTTCAAGCAGGGGCACTTGGAACAGTGTGAAAGCCAATATATTTCCAGCACGGTTCAGCAGTGAAGGAAATCTTGGCATAGGGAGGGCTCAATTCCTTTCAAGTGCTTTCAGACCGTCTCAAACTGAAAGATGTGAAATGTTCCTTTTTGAACTACAATTACCATAGCATCTCAGCCGACATGCTAGAAGTTGGAGATCAAAAAAATCAATGTTTGCCATGTCTTTTAAAGCCTCTGTGAAGTAGACATCTGGGTATAGAGTGCTTCAGTGTACTTTAGCACTAAGAGCCTAGGTCACTTCTTGCTGCTTTTCCCTCCCACTTAACGTTTTGACTTCATTATCATATTAGAAGTTCAACCTGCTCTCCCCGCACCCACCCCCAGTTTTTAAGTTTGAATTTTCATCATTTAAAGATAGCTAATGTACACAACCAAGAGCTCTTAAATGGTTAGGTTAGAACTTTAGAACAGCCGAGCTGGAAGGGACCCTCTGGATCATCAAGTCCAACCCCTGTTAAGGATGCCCAGATGGGGAATCGAACTCCCAAAATCTGGCTCTGCAGTCAGAGCTCTAACCCACCGAGCCATCCAGCAGTTAAACGCCTCTTTGTTTTGAACTGTGTGTGAGCTGCCTTGAGTCTCTTCCCTGGTTGATGATAGTATTTCAAAATCTAACATATTTCTGTTTCAGTTCTTTTAATCTTCAGAGGATTTATTTTTTGTGTCCCCCCCCCCACTGGAAAAAAAAGGGAGGATGGCTTCATAGAGAAATTGGCTCAATTTGGTTGTGGTTATACAGTTGCGGGTTAATTACATTAGAATCAAAACTATTTCTTGTAGTTGGGGTGACTTTGTGCTAGGAGAAAAAGGTTATACACCTAGAAGCATCTGCATCCAGTTTTATTTTTATTTTTTCCAATTCTCCCCCACTTCTACTCCCTCCTTGAGCTGTGCCATACTATCCTAGAGGACCCCTCCCCAACAATCAGCAGCACATTTGTGGAGTGTGCAGGAGAATTAATTGAAAGTAAGGTGCCCTGATTTATATAGGCATGAAGAAATATTTTGCACTAGTGCAAAAATGTAATTGGCTGCAGACCAATTAAGCTTAACAGTGCGGTCTTGGATTAGGTGAATTTTCACAAAGTCTGCCTTCTAAGAGAAGCAGAGTGTGTGTGTAGCTGTACAGTTAAAATCTTAAAACCTTTATTTTTTTTTATGTCAGAAAGAGTGGCCTTCAGTTATAAACACTGTTGCGTGACAGCCCTCCAAATGCAGGCTCACAATTTTAGGTAGCAGTTTGATTCATAGCTTGGCACACTTCACTTTAATGCAGGAAGAAGCCACAGAGCTGTGTCACAGCTCAAGGTAAGCAGCTTCAAAATATTTTTACAACAGTGTGGAGCTGCTAGCCTGCAAAAACTTTTCTTCCAGAGACAATGACATGGGAGTTTTCACTAAAAATGTACAGTTGTCAGGTTGGGTAAAATTGACTCTGCGGCATTATTATATGTGCAGGAAGAACAGAGCTTATAGAATTCTCCCTGTTGTTTGAAATCTTCTTGTGTAGATGGAGATCTGTGATAACTTATGTTGAGTTGTCGGGTAGAGTTACAGAAAAACCAGCTGGAGGAGTTTTGCTCTGTCGGTGGTAGATCCCTCATATAGACAGATGTCTGTATCTTTTAGGAGTCATACCATGACAAATGTTCTTAATTCCTTTAATGCTTGAATCTGCATTGGACCCTTGTGCCTAGTTGCTTGTCTAACTCAGATAACAACTCTTCCTTGGCAACTGTCTTTGTCAAGAACTTTATGTAAGTTATCTTTGAAAATGACAGTGGTTGCTTATGCTGGTACATTTTTCTCTCACTCATTCACTCGGTGTTGTTGAACCACAATCTTCAGAAACCACAGTGATGATGCCCATTGGTTTTCAGAGACTTGTGCCTACTGTTAGATGTAAGGGCAGTCATATTGTAACAATAAATGGAAGACTTGCAAGGAAAATAAAAGAAGAGGGAATGTGATTTTTCCCTAGGAATTCTTTACTAGAAAAAAATTGACATATTTTACTACAGCTAGTTACTACAGTTTGTGGTACAAACGGAATATACTTTCTTTTCGGTTGAAGTCTTCTTTTTACAATTTAAACCATTTCTTTTTAACGAACCCTCTATTAAAATAAAAATACACTGTTTTCATATATTAATGTTGATAGCTCTGTGACTAGCCCATCTTCAAAGGCTTAAATAGCCCAGGCAGCAAAGCCAAACTTTGCCATCCTTCTCCCCAGGCAAAATTAAATGTTACCAGATTCACAGAAAAATTCCTAGCCCTTTTTTACTTTAACCATAAGTCCCCAAGTCCAGTAGAAATAAGGTTGTACATTGGTCCTGAAAAGTTTCTGTAATTCGACTCTAGTAAGTCCGCAATGGAAAGTTGTTCCTTAAGAAGGTGTAGGATGATGCCTCTTCTTGTGGATCCAGTAGTTTGGATTTCACAATCCATTTCCCTTACTAACTTCTGTTTTGTATATGAAACTAGGTTTCAATGCATACTGCCTAAATTATATCCATTACGTCCACAAAAGCCTTTGCGTAGGGCTTTCATGAATTGCAATCCCCTTCATCATATGAAGGAAGCCCAAAGGCCCATCAGGCACAGCGTTCTGAGAACAGAGCAGCCAACCAGATGGGAAGCCCACAAGCCAGATGTGGGCACAGTGGCAGCCTTCTGTTCATGTCCCTCAGCCTGAAGGAATATGTAGCCATTGTGGCTCATGGCCATGCTTGTTTCAGCTGACTTGAAGTTGTCCTCAAGGCCATTCACTGGGAAAGAGTTGAGTAGATATATCATAGAAAGCCATCTAGCCATGTGTGAGAGTATCAGATGCAACTCTGTTTTAAATATGATGAACAGAGAGGATTGCTTGACTCTCATTGTGAAGTTCATATTCTGCAAAGCATAATAATATGATCTCTTATTACATCTCACTGATTTGAAGTCAGATGTTCTTATTGTTAGCTCCGTGCTTTCGAAAACACTTGGAATGGCTTCTAACTTTGAGACCCATATCTTAAAAGATTGGTCCAGCAAGCATGCTTTGCAAGAGCCCATTATGGAGTGATTAAAATAAAACTGTCTTTCAGATTTCCCCATCCTTTCACTCTCTTACATGCTTATGCATGTGCATACACACACTTATTTGCATAATTATTGCTTACATACATAAATACACTCAAGTGAACTTAGTGATCACAGTGATGACTTTTCTGTATTGCCCCCATGCCACAGTTAAATATTGTATTTTTGTGAGGAAGGAGCAAAAAACAAGACTGCATCGTTTTTCAACATTTAGAATGGATTTTCTGTTCTTTCTCTGGGTAATTAATTCATCTGCCAGGTCTAATTCCTTAAAGTCTTAATACTGGGTCCCAGTATGTAATTCAGGTTCTTACAATTAACATTTGTTTACACTGTGTAATATATAAACTGTGTAATATTCTGTATATACAGAATACAAGTATTTGTTACCTAAACGAATTTTATGTAAACTTTCATTATTGAGGTGAAACTATAAGCCAAAGAAAATCCTGTTGATCTCAGGAAGGGTATAAAGCCTGGATGGCCCTAATAAACCGCCATCATCTTGCTTGTATATGAATTGTAATAATCTTTAAAAATTACCAAATTACACATATACAAAGAAGCGCTAGATTCCTCTTTGCCCAAGTGGTGAAAATATCAAATCACTTAGATTGTACCCCATTGCATAAGAAGACTCAATAAGAGTCTCTTTTTTTTGTATTGAGATTCAATAAGAGATTTCTTTTGTGTTGTAAGCTGCCTAGAGTTGTCAAAATGACCAGATAGGCAGGGTATAAATGGAATGAATGAATGAATGAATGAATGAATGAATGAATGAATGAATGAATGAATAAATGAATAAATGAATAAATGAATAAGAAAGAAAGAAAGAAAGAAAGAAAGAAAGAAAGATAGATAGATAGATAGATAGATAGATAGATAGATAGATAGATAGATAGATAGATAGATAGATAGATAGATAGATAGATAGATAGATAGATAGATAGATAGATAGATAGATCGATCGATCGATCGATCGATCGATCGATCGATCGATCGATCCCGGCTAGTGAATTTTAAATTTGGAGAGTTTCAGGGAGGGAGTAGAAGCAAGAAGCCATGATTGAAGGATAGAAGGGCCAAGCAGTTAGTTCACAGTAAACTTTATACAGGCTGCCCTTTTCCTATTCAATATTTAGAATATTCACAGCCCTTATACAGAAAGTAATGAAAACCTTCCTTTTGTAAAACTAAACCATCACTCTCTCTGGCATCCTTATTCTACATAGTAGCCAGAATTCTGTTTGCTTTCATGCCAACTTTAGAGTGCTGGCATTAACCTGTAAAGCCCTTAATGGTTTGGGTCTCCATTACTTTAACGGAGCATCTCTCTCCGAGATGGGCCACCCGGTGCAGCCAAATGTCTTGTTTGTGGCTGGTCACCCCTGGAGAGGCCCGTAAAACTACCACTAGGAACTGGGTCTTCTCTGTGGTGGCTGCAAAGCTATGGAAAGTGTTACCTGTGGATATACACCAAGCTCCCTCCCTTCTGGCCTTCAGGAAACAGGTATAAACCTTATTGTTGGAAGAGACCTTCAGAAATAGTGTACCCCTTTGATCTGTTCGTGGATCCATGAATTGGATATTGCCTCTAGATTTATTTTATATTTTGGATTACTGTTTTGATCTGGTTCTCATTATTTATGGCTTTGTGGGCTGGGTAATTGCATTTTTAATTGCAGTTAGACATCCAGAGTAGTGCTTGGGCACTAGATAGGCAGGATAAGTAATTAAGTAAATAAGTAAATGTCACTTTAATGCTTTACAGCCCTTTTGTACTTGAGGGTCCTTTCTCTCAATTCCTGGAGATGAGTAAAAATTGAATACAAGAAACCTGAATTCCCATGTTATCTTATTTCACAGAATAGTCAACCTGGCAAGAAAACATAATTTCCCACACTATTTCTGCTGGTTGTATTTTTCATGATATCACCCTGATAAACCAGCCAGCCATCATCATTCTATCTAGAGGTGAATTGGAGTGGACCTGTTCGAATAAAAATGGCACCGTCTTAGTCAAATATTGTTGATTGTCCTTTTGAGTGAGATTTCAACAGAATCCACCAATCTTACCAAGTTGAGATTTAACCTATTAGGGTATTGTTGCTTCAAGACTGTGTTGCTAAGACATAGATGGCCGGTTTTACAGCCAGCTAGCTGCTAGAAAAGAAAGTTTGTAGGGAAAGAATCACAGGTCCTTTTGTCAAGGCTGCAGATTTAGAGTACAGGTGAAACCAAGCTTTCAAGCTACTCTTGTATCTACTCTCCTACACTTAGGCATGGATGTCATCTTGTTCCACATAACACCTCTCAGTAGACATAGAAACCTTTTTTCCTCTCACTTTTTCTTTTTCTTCATCGCATCAGCTTTTCTTTTTATACTTAAAAATATAAGTAAAAATATGCATACTAGGTGTTTTAGTTTGGTTTTATTTTATTTTTCTCCTTATGGAATCATGGGTAGTTTCATTGCAACTCATTTCTTTCTGTTTGTTTCGTATAGGGCTGATAGTGCAGGATCATTCAGACCCCTTGTTCAGTTCTTATGCCAATAAATCCCACTACCTACTGAATGAATCAAATCGTGCTGAGTTGATGAAATTACCTATGATTCCTCCTTCTTCGTCAGCTTCCAAAAAGAAATGTGAGAAAGGTAACCAAAATAGCTTCTTTCTCTTTTTTAATTTTCTTTCCACTTTTTCTGCTTTCCTTTCTTTTTGTTTGCTTTTTTTTAAAAAAATCAAGTTCTTTATGCTCACTTAGCATCTTCTTTTTGCGCTTGGTAAATTTCACTCATTTCTTATTGTGAGTGTGTATTTATGTTGGCAATTTTTTATATAAAAGGGCTTAAAATAATTACTAAATTCCATTTGAGTGTTGTGTTGTACTCTAATAGTCAATTCAATAGGCTTTCCTAAATTACATGGTAGAATTAACCAATCTGCTGTATCGTTGTGTTGCCTGCGTTGCATGCACAGTATATGATATCTATAAATACTAATTCTGTTCTGTCAAGTCCATTCTGACATATAGTAAGCCTTTCCAGAGTTTTCTAGGTATAGAATATACAGATGTTGTGTACCATTCCCTTCTTCTGGGGACACCCCGGGACTGTATATCTCACCCAAAGCAACACAGGCTGGCTCTTTCTCCTGGGAAGGCCCAGTGGAGGAATTGAACTCCCAACAACTGTATCTCACCCAAGGCAACACAGGCTGGCTCTCTCTCCTGGGAGGCCCAGTGGAGGAATTGAACTCCCAACATCTAGCTCTGCAGACAGATATTTAATTCACTGAGCTATTCAGCCAGCCCATAATATCTGTTAGCCACACTGAAAGTGTTGAATATCCCTTCCGGACTGGTTCATATAGTCAGTTCTTCTGCTTTGTGGCCAGAGTTGGATTCTCTGGATCTGCCCAAGTACGTTAACCATGCATGTGCCATGATTTATATGATTGCAAGGACCTTTTTTAAAAAAAAACTGGGAATGCCAAACGGTGGCCTTCCAGTCAGTCTAATGGCTGTCCAGAAACTTTCACCTTTCTTAGCTGCCTTTCTCCATAGAAAGAAGGCCAGCGTTCTTTTGCTTATTCAGTCTCCATTGGATTGAATAAAGCCTTTCAGAACTTCAGTGCTATGTTGATAGTTCCGCAGTCAGACAGATGGTTTAGGACTGGCGAACTGGTGAATCTCCAGCAGTCTTTTCCCAACCGTTTACAACCCCACATGTGTTTTCATGAATGGGCATGTTCCACATGGCTGATTGTATTTCTCCATGCCTTTGAACTGCCCCTCACCACTCCATTGAACCATGCTCTTTACAAGGGTACCCCAAGGAACTGCATCTAAGGGGAGCAAATTTAGTCATCCAGGTACCGAGGAACAGCTGTAGCTCAGAAGGAAAGTTTTCAAAATATCTGGTCACCCAGCTCCATTAGATTAAAACCCAGGAGCTGCCGCTTCTGGGGGCACGTCTGTTTGTGTGGCGTTAACTGTTGCTTGTTATAAATGTAAATCTCTGCAAATTCATAAAAACCCTCTTGCCTTGTTCTTAAAACCCGCCAGAGACAATAACTGTGCCAGCTGGAAAACCCACAGTAACAGTCTTTGGGTTTAACTGATAGCAAGAAAATAACACCCACTTTGGAACTGTTCAGATAGATTTCTAGTGTCTCTCTGCATAGCACCTGTGAGCAATGGGACCCAACCCATCCTACTCTCTGATTGTGTTTGTCTTCACTGCCATCTGATGCATGTAGATCTTGTATATACATGGCATATATAGTGAGACTTAACGGACCTGGTCCCCCAACTGTGTGTGGGCTGCACACATCTGGAACCTTGTCCAAACTGGGCTTTGTTGTCTGTGGAATTTAGAAACTAAATATATACAGTGATGCATCGCAAGACGAAAATAATTTCTTCCGCGAGTCATGTCGTATTGTGAAATTTTCATCCTGCGAATTTTCCCATAGGAAACGCATTTCAATGCATTTCCCATAGGAATGCCCTGGGGGAAAAATTTATCTTGCGAAGCACAGCCATAGAAACATTCGTCTTGCGAGTCACACAAAAAATCGCAAAACACTTTCGTCTTGTGAGGTTTTCGTTGCACGAGGCATTCGTCTTGCGAGGCATCACTGTAATCTCTTCTGAGGTCTCAAAGTATGTGCAGAAGATACCCCTACTGATCTACCTAAAGCAGATTATTTACTCTCTTGATGTATTTAGACGAGTCTCTACTACTAGGAGATTTGAAATAACCAGAATTATTTTGAGCCCTCTTTTCTGCTTAGCTTTGGCAGATCTTACTAATGCATTACAAGAGCCAAGTTGCTTTGCTTAGCACTGAAAATTTTCTGTGGTTCTGTTTCTTTTTGCTTTGGTTTTCACATCTTTTGGCATTTTACTGTGTTTGGGCATCGCTGCAATGACTCTGGCTGTATTTCCTCTGAAGTGACGCTTGTTCTTTAAGAATTCATGGTGGGATTTAAAAAACGGTAAGGGAATCTAAACCTAGAGGCATTATAACATTCCACAGCAGAGGAAATATAGTCATGGTTTTGTTGTCATTTAAGCCAATCTTTTCAAGCCCCATTACAATCAGTATAGTTACAGTTTTGGAAGTCTATAGGTGGACAAGATTTTCTGACAGCCTTTTTTAAAAAAAAAAAATCAAATTTCTAGGATATGTATTTTAAAAAAACTTGAGATCTTGTTTAAATTTTGAGGGATTTTTGATGGTGTTAAATGGCCTACATTTTTACATCCAGCACAGCTAAGGCACTTGCTGTCCGCACTAGACATACCGTATTTTTCACACCATAAGACACACTTTTTTTCCCACAAAACAGGGGGGGTGGAAAGTCTGTGTGTCTTATGGAGCGAAGAAAACATATTATATTTTCCTGTTTTCTTCTCCTAAAAAATTGGTGCATCTTATGGAAAGGTGCATCTTATGGAGCGAAAAATATGAAGCCAGCGAGAAAATCAACCAAGAACTCCCCTGCCCAAATATTCTCATGCTTATCAGCTGTGAGATCCCTTTCTTAGGTGCCCGATGCAGATGTAATGCTCCTCATCTCTTAAGTCTGATAGCACATTTTGGCTTGAAGCTTACCATTTTACTGCCAGTGGTGGAGACGTAACACTACAGTGTGATTTGCTCTACATGGAAGGGAAAGGATTGAAATGCTTTCTGTGGGTAGGGGAACAGCTCAATTTACCGTAGTCTGCTCTGTGTTTAAGAGATTGGGAAGGTTGCATCTGCTGAGTCCACCTAGTGCAAGAAACCTTGGGAAGAATTAGCGGAATTTTGGAACCTCCTTTTCTATTGTATTATTCTAGAAACAGAAAAATAATTGATCAACCTATAGGCTGCTTTTATGCACTAGCTGATTGCTGAGGGATCCAGTCACGCCAATGCAGGTTTAAAACAGATTTCATGGCCTTCAGTCATTGGGCTGAAATATTGGCAGCTGTCAAGACTGTCTGAGAGAAGGAAGCTCCGACAGCACTTTTGTCTTTGAAAAAAAATAAAAATTTTTGCAAAGTTAATTCAATTTACCAAATTGCCTTTTGGATCCAAAAACTTAAAATCAGTTTGCAGAATGATTTGGCTTGGAAATTTTGTATTGAGTCTTGCACAAAGAAGACATACGTTTTAATCCAGCATTGTAACTTTGGCTGGATCCTTTAAAAAATGTGGTTATTTGGATTGTCTGAGATGATAAATACCAAGTATTTTGAGAGGGTTGTGGGGGTTTTTTTGTAAAGAAATGAGAGATGAAGAAGCGTACATTCTACCCGATGCCTTTAACGATAAAGTGAGCAATGTTGTTTATTTAAAGGTGGAAAACTGTTATGCTGTGAATCATGCCCTGCCTCCTTCCATCCGGAGTGTCTTAACATAGAGATGCCAAATGGCTCCTGGAACTGCAATGACTGTAAAGCTGGCAAGAAGCTGCGATACAAACAGATTGTTTGGGTCAAGCTTGGGAATTACAGGCAAGTCAAAGCCAATGAAAAATTAGTGTTGGCAATGGCACCTTTCTATGTTGTTGTTGATGATGATGATGATGAGGATGAGGAGGTTTGTACCCTTAGTGCTCTTACAGAAATTGAAAAGCTCTTTCTGATCACCGCAAGCTTCCATAGGAGGAAGGAGGTGATTTTTCAGAACTGCACTACTATATTGGTGGACCATTATTTAGAATGCAAGCCATACAGATTTATTTTTTAAATAATATTTCTCTTACTCCCTTCTTTAAAGATGCTCAGTGAAGCATAGAAAGGGAATCTCTCCCATTTTATCTTAACAATAACCCCAGAAGATAGGTAATGCACAGAGAAAATGGGGAAGATTAGGCATTCCTCCATGAGACGGCTCCATGATTAGCTAAGAATATGAACTCACTTTCCCAAGGCCCTTTCATCCTAACTTCACATTGTTGTAGGGTATGTGAAGGCTTTTCTAGCTGACCAAAAGTTGGATAGACTCATATGGGGCAAAGATGGCCCTTTAGATACCTTGGTCTCAAACCATTCAGGATTTAGAATTACCTTGGAAATTGACCTTAAGCTAATGAAGTTGACAGAAAGGAGACAGTGGCTGACATCCTGTTACTCTCTTATGCATATGGAAGGCAAAAAAAGGCACAGCATTCGGTAGATTCTAGCTGGCAATTAACAAATCACTGCTGGGATTTTCAGAGGTGCACATACTGATTGGCTTCCTACGCACTCAAGAATCCTAGCAGGGACTCATTAATTGCTAGCTAGGAACAACTGAATGTTACGCCTTTTGCATAGCCAAGCAACAGGATTTCAGCCACTGCTTGCCTGTATAATTGGTTCCGTCTAGCAGCCACTACTGTATTCTGTGCCAAGACAGATTGTTGAACCGTCTTCAAGGACAACCCCCATTTAGTGAAAGAGCAATAATTCATTTGTGATATAATTAATTGGCCAGACTTCTCCATAAATCAGTACACTTCATACACCAGCTTCTGCTTGGCAAAGATACTTTCAACCTGTCGCCTGCAATCTAGGAGGATCTCCCAAATTGAAAACTTGATTCCTCTTGATTCTTCTTCAGTTCTCCTGAAGAAGACTTTTGCCTGTTTCGTAACTTGTTATTCCATATCCAGGCCCTTATGGTTCTCAGAATCTCCATAGCCTTCTCAGACTGAGCCAGAAAGGAAAAAGAGGTACATGTTCTCTACAATTTGATGATGGCAAAATGTTCCAAACCATCATTTAATTCATGATCCATCACGAAGAAAAAATGTGGTGGGATCTTGCATTTTTTGTGGATGTCCCAAACCATCATTTAATTCGTGATCCATCACGAAGAAAAGAAAATGTGGTGGGATCTTGCATTTTTTGTGTGTGTTTACGTAATAAAGCTCTCTGTGTCTTTTAATTCCTATAGCGTCCATCCTGTTTTGATTCCAAGGCCATGGAGGTGCCACAGTTGGTGCAAATATAAATGGGCCAAATTCTTACTAAAACATCTGGAAGGCTGCTCAGCTCTGTTGATTTATTTGCAAGGCTTCTGTTTATTTTTGTAGGGATATATTATTTCTTGGTGGTTAACTCTGAGTGATAAGATGTTTGTTGACGTACAGCTTGTTTAAAGCACATACTGAGGACATTGCCTGTACTGAAAGAGTCCTGCAGCAGGGAAATGTAGACGCATGGAGATGCTTTGATAGCTGAGAGCTTCCGTGCCTTTACTTCAGAGTTCTCTGTCTTAAGGGGATATTTTATTTCTTTTAGGTTGTGCCACTTGAGACCTGCACAAACCTATCAAAATGAAGGGAGCTTTTCAGTACTAGACCTTGGTGGTTAGCTCTGAGTGATAAGATGTTTGTTAACGTACAGTTTGTTTAAAGCACATACTGAGGACATTGCCTGTACTGAAAGAGTCCTGCAGCAGGGAAATGTAGACGCATGGAGATGCTTTGATAGCTGAGAGCTTCCGTGCCTTTACTTCAGAGTTCTCTGTCTTAAATTCTCCTCTCATTCCTTTCTCCCCATTCTCTCTAGGTGGTGGCCAGCTGAGATCTGCAACCCCAGGTCTGTTCCTCTCAACATACAGGGCCTCAAACATGATATCGGGGACTTCCCTGTGTTTTTCTTTGGTTCACATGACTACTATTGGGTTCATCAGGGCAGAGTATTCCCTTATGTTGAAGGAGACAAAAGCTTTGCTGAGGGGCAAACTAATATTAACAAGACCTTCAAGAAAGGTAAAATTGAGCACAATTTCTAGTGGTTTCATGACGAAAAGCTTCATGTTTTTGTGTCTCCATCACCAGTTGATTTCATGGAAATAGCACTTTGGGTCTTGTGTGAACCTCCATTTCCACTGAAAACCAGTAAAAACATTTCCATTTTCCATGCTTAACTATCGGCAGCACCTGTTTTGAAAGAGTTTCCTAAGTAGCAAGCCAGCAGAACATTTATTAAACGAGAAAATGTTATATTATAGTACAGCAGCATTTAACCTTTTAGGTTTTAAAACTATTTGATTCTTAAAAGTTTGCTTCTGTGTATCTGCCAGCATATTAATCTTTTGAAACGATTTTAAGTACAAAAGTCCTGTGGAAAATATGTGGGTGGTTGGCAGCATCTCATTTTATCTCTCGTACCTCTTTGATGTATGATTCATATATAAAAGCAATGATCAGAAGTACAGTTTTACCCTTTAAAACTAGTTTTCACTTGTTACAGTCTTAGCTCAAATTAATAAAGTAATACTTTTTAAAAATTCAGTAGATAAAGCAACTATTCTTGGTTTTATTTCAGTAACATTCCAAAGAACTGTGTATTTGTTAAAAATCATTTTGTTTCAAAGTACCAGTGTTAGCTGATTCTCAGGTTTCCTGCTTCATCAGCTGCCAACATTAACTCCTTTCTCCCTTTTGGGCTTCCTCCCGCCTTCCCATAGCACTTGAAGAAGCTGCAAAAAGGTTCCAGGAACTGAAAGCACAAAGAGAAAGCAAAGAAGCACTTGAGATTGAGAGAAATTCAAGAAAGCCGCCTCCCTACAAACACATAAAAGTGAGTTCATTCCCTTTGTTCTTTCATATGGCATGAACTAAGTACGTACGTAGATGTTTTTCTATAATGGAAACATGCCATTTCTCCATTACCATGTGAGCAAGCCCAGTAGTAGTGATGAATTAGAATAACCTGACACGAAAGCTAGATTATTCCCTTAATGTGTTGATAAAGGTCTGTCTGAAAGTCTGTTCACACCACTTTAAAAATAAAGAAGGTCATGTGAGCTGGGTAATCTGCCTGCACTTTCCAGATTCATACTTGCACAGGCCATAGCGCTTTTCTATGTAAAACTGCTTAGGTTCCATTTATCACTTGAGGAAGCAAGCAATGTCCGGCTATATGTGGATCTGTGCTGTGCATGTATGCCCATGCAATTAGAAATCCCGATTTTATCTGAGTGGTTTGTTTGTTTGTTTTCTCCTCTCTGATCCACAGGCCAACAAAGTAGTAGGGAAGGTTCAGATTCAAGTGGCAGACTTGTCCGAAATCCCACGATGTAACTGTAAGCCAACGGATGAAAACCCTTGCGGTCTGGAGTCAGAATGTCTAAATCGCATGTTGCAGTATGAGTGCCATCCTCAAGTATGTCCTGCAGGAGAACGGTGTCAGAATCAGTGCTTCACGAAAAGACTCTATCCGGAAGCAGAAATCATTAAAACAGACCGCCGTGGCTGGGGCCTCAGGACAAAACGGAACATTAAAAAGGTACCGTTTCGAATGAATGCTGGCAAACTCTTGGTGTTACCTTACGTGGACAAAATAAACCTTGAGATGCAGGTGAGCATTTAGTTCCTGCGAGCACAGCCTGTTTCTATGTCCTGTGCACTTCCTGTTCTGCAATGCAGGCAATGTGTCCAAAGTTCTGTAATCTGTAGTTTTATAATGTATAATTAATATAGGATAAATATCGGCCAGAAGCTGTTGCTGATCTATGCTTGCATTCGAGCGCTCACAGGAGTCTCAGTGGCAGATCACTGCTCCTTAACAAGGTGCTCATTGCACTTCTCAACACATGTCCAGCTTTTTAATATAAGAATACTGAAAAAACTTTTTCTATTACAGTGGTGCCTCGCTTAACGAGCGCCCCGTTTAACAACGAATCTGCATAGCGATTAGGCATTGCAATGTTTTTAATGATAAAAAATTGCTTTGCGACGATCGGTAAGCTGTTTCGCTTACTGATTTTCACATAGCGATGTTTTAAAAACAGCTGATCGGCGGTTCCAAAATGGCCGCTGGGGAAAAATGGCCGCCCGCTGTGTTTTCACGCCCATTCCTCGCATACCGGGCAGTGAAAATGGCGGCCATATGGAGGATTTTCACATAACGGTGAGTTTTTTGCCCATAGGAACGCATTAAACGGGTTTTAATGCATTCCTATGGGCTTTTTCTTTTCGCATAGCGATGAATCCGGATAGCGATGATTTTTCTGGAACAGATTATCACCGCTATCCGGGGCACCACTGTATTTTATGTTTACACTGAAAATCAATGCCGAAATATCAATGATGTGAGATGAAACAGTGTCAAGTAATGTATACCAAGTTCATAAGAATCTAGATCAGTGATTCCCGACCTTGGTAACCCAGGTGTTCTTGGACTGCAGATCCTAGAAGCCTCAGCCAACACAGCTGGTAATGAAGACTTCTGGGAGTTTTAGTCTAAGAACATCTGAGGACCCAAGATTGGGAGTCACTGATCTAGATGACTGGAAGACATTTTGAAAATCTGTTTTGGCTATAAGAGATGGCTGCTGGTTCCAAAATTTCAACAGTAAGCAAAATAGGCCTAGAAAGTTTTCACATAGTTCAGCAGCTTTCTCCTGACATGTGTAATGTAGAAAAATGACAGTAAGAAGTACCAGTAGAGAGACACAATCCAGTGGGAAGTTAAGAAGAAAGCATTGTTTTCTTTTGGGTTATGTCCAGATTCACTTAGCATTGGGGAACCAAAAGGCCATAAATGTTATGTTGGAAACAATTATTTCATTGCAAATAAATAAACAAACAAACAACCAGCCAACTAACCAACCAACCACTCTGCTGGTGCATGCTTTTTTGCCACTCCAGAGATTTCTGTGGTGCCGCTTTGTGCAGTGGGACTTCATAGATAGCAGAGTTGCTTTCTGATTCATGCAGATACACTGTTAACTTGCAAAACCTTTTCTGTTTGTTTGTGCACATTGGCTCTGAAAGGATACTGCTATCTTCTCAGATGACCTGCTGCCATTCGTTTACCAAAGCTCCATAGCTCAGCTCACTGCAGAGATCAGAATTTGACTCCCAGATTCACACCAGACTTCCTTTCTGCCGCACTACAGTGGCAGTCTTAAGACAAGGACTTGACCTTTGATGCTTCTGGCCTTATAGTAACGTCATCACATATAATTGTACTTCCCTTTTGATTTCTTTCAGGGTGAATTTGTAAACGAATACGTTGGTGAATTAATAGATGAGGAAGAATGCAGGTTGCGAATCAAGCGTGCTCATGAGAACAGCGTGACTAATTTTTATATGTTAACTGTTACAAAGGTAAAAGAAGCATTCTCCTATGCATGCAGATATGTGTACGTATGTGTGCATGTAAGATCTGTCCATTCGTATTTCTCTCGGCAATTTCTTATTCCAGTTTTTCAGAAGCTTTGAGAATTTTCCTAGTCTTAGATTTGTTTGTTTTTTCAAAAACATGAACTTCTGTACATATTGTAATGTGCATTTCTCCTAATATATAAATGTCTGCACATATGTTTGTCAGATTATGTTCGTTACTGCAGATACTGCTTCTGTGTTACAAGGCATACTGTTTGCCCATCTATGCATATTGCAAAACATTTTTAAAAAAAAAAATTGGGGAATTCCTCTGCAAAATTCTTGTGTTGGTATGTTCAGTGGTTCAAGCATGCAAAGTTAGGTGATGTCACATTAAAATGCAAAATGAATTGCTTTCTCCCTCATCCCCTTTGTGTGTGTGTGTGTGTGTGTGAGAGAGAGAGAGAGAGAGTCACAGCTTGAAGAAACAAAGGGATTCCTTTTGTGCACTGTTGTCCCAAATCAACTTGAACGAGTAATGTCCATGCATTTACTCCTTGGTTGCTGCTAGCTGGAGATGGGATGAGTGTTCTAAAACAGGATTTTCTTCTATATCTTGGTGTTCCATCCAACTGATAGGGAACAGCCTCTCCGCACCTTTCTTTTAGGTGCCTTTCTTTCCTAATATATGGCATGATGGTGCATATGTGTCAGACTTTTCCAGTGCAATAAGTATGTTATCTCTGGGATCCATATGGCTACTTGCTAAGATAAGGCAGTATCCCCTAAATGCAGCAGGGGTGGTGGGAATTAAAGCTGAGACTCTTAAGGATTTTGTGGCTGAGTTTGGGACTAACAGTGACTGGAAGCTGCTGGTGGCCAGGTTGTTTTCCTTCTGTCATAGTATTGGCTGGTCTTCAGTTTGGTACTGGGTTGCACAGATATGAATTGCAGCATTGCTATAAGTGGGTCCCTAACACATGTTCGGTGAGACTGGTCTGCAGATGTTGAAAATGGATGCTCTTCTCTCCACTGTCCAGTCTTAGCAGGTATCCTTTCCATAACTTGCCCCCTGATCTTTTTTGTTGAGAGTACCCTTGTAAAGCCTGTGCTCAGCTGTAGGTCTTCCTTTAGGATACAATCCCACTGTTGATGATTGCTGCTGATGGCGGTCATTCAGGGAATATGTACCACATTGTGTCTTTCCCTGCCACTGCTCTACAGTATTTTGGCTGCCATGGATGGGAAAGTGGGGAAAAGGTATAGCTTGATAACCTCATGTTCTGTTGCAAGATAAAATAGGAAGATATGACAAAAGGTTGTTTGTGATCCTGATCCGTTCTGGTTCTGACCTGAAGTGAGATGAAGAATTGTTTGAGGAACTTTGAGGCGTGTGCTTTTAGCTCATATGCCAGTGGTTCCCTAACCTTGGGGTAACCCAGTTGTTCTTGGACTTCAGCTCCCAGAAATCCTAGCCAGCATGGTTAGCAGTGAAGGCTTCTGGGAGTTTTAGTCGAAAAACATCTGGAGGCTCAAGGCTGGGAAGCCATTTCTCACCTGAAAGAAAGAGAAGGCTTTGTTTTCTGTCAGTTTCCTGGGCAAGGGAGTCACCATTAGTTGATTTTTGCCTAAACTCTGTTTCCAGGTTGTCTTGGCAGGTAACTAACCAAGTGAAATGGATTTGTTTCAACTTGAAAGAAAATGGAAACAAAATTGAAAGTATCGTGGCACCTTTCAGACTAGCAAACTTGTTTCAGTCTAATCCACAACACTGAAATAAAGTTATTAGACTTGCAATAATGTTTCTGAGTGTGCTTTGATACTTTTTTGTTCATTTTGTCTTTGTCTGAAACAGACCTAAGATAGATACCTCTCTGAAAATATGGGTTCTTGATATCTGATGGAACTGTTGCAACACAAGACTCTATTTTCACACACAGACATTTAATATGTTATTGATTCTGTACGCTTTGATTTTATTGAAGGACCGTATAATAGATGCTGGCCCAAAGGGGAATTACTCTCGATTCATGAACCATAGCTGTAACCCCAACTGTGAAACTCAGAAGTGGACAGTGAACGGCGATGTCAGAGTTGGGCTCTTTGCTTTGTGTGATATTCCTGCAGGTAAAATCTCCCTTGTCTTTTTATACTTTGCATGTATTATTAGCATTCCTTGCTGTCCTACCCCTTTGAACTTTTTTTTCATATATTTTGTTGCCTGTAATGTTAAAATAAACTTCTGGATTCTTTCTCAATGGCATGAATAAATTGCATTGCCCCTCTGTCTTTAAGGCTACAGTGGTGCCCCGCATGACAATGATAATTCATTCTATAGAAATGGCTGTCTTGTGAAAACATCGTCTTGCGAAAACCGTTTCCCCATTGGAATGCATCGAAACCTGTTTAATGCGTTCCAATGGGGAAAAATCGTTGTCGTTTTGCAAAGATCACCCAGAGGGAAGCCACTTTGCAACGCGTCGATCAGCTGTTAAAATGGCTGTCCTGCGAAGCATCGGTCCGGAAAACACCTGTTTTGCGAAGCCCCAATCAGTGCCAAAATCGTCGTCTTGCAAGAAACGGTTTCCGAGGCACAGACCTAAACATCGTCCAGCGAAAATCACCCATTGGAAACACTTTTGCGAATCGCTATAACGATCGCAGAACCTCATCGTCATATGGATTCATCGTTTTGCTAGGTCGTCTAGCGGGGTACCACTGTACATGTATATTTTGCTGGTAGTGCTTAATTGCAGAGCTTGTTCTTTTAAGTAAGCGCCTACTGTGTTGTACACATGCACATTTAAAGACAAGGAATGTTGTTTATCCCTGGGGTAATGCTATAGGTGTGCATCTCTAATTATGAGATTGACAGATGTAGGTGATCACAGAACAAAGAAAGGCTAATGATGTGGGTGATCACAGAACAATAGGAAGGCAATTAGCCTCAGAGAAAGTAGGAAGAGGTCCAGCTAGCGGAGCCTGAGGCAACGCCTTGAGAACTCTTTTTGTTAACTTAGCACAATTACATAGAACCAATTACATAGAACCCTTGTGAGAATTCAGGTAGGATACTAGTTACTTAATCGTTGGCCGGAGAAACCCTTTGATCTAAGTCGCTAACTCTAACCAGAAAGGCAGAATGAGGTGGCTGGAGAAACCCTTTGATCTAACTGGCTAACTCTAACCAGAAAGGCAGAATGAGGGGTCACCTCACCCGCTGGGAGCTGCTGCTTCTCTGCCAGGAGTGTTTGCACTCACTGAAACAGGAATGCAGCTAACCGCCTTGGCCAGAAGCTTCCCACAGGCAGAGCAATCCTGGCTTCCTGTGTTGATGGATGAAGGAGGTTGGGAAAACATGATGGCGGGATATTGTGGCAGAGGCTGCTATCTCACCTGAGAGTTGGAAACAGTTGAGGAGACCCTCCCGTTCTCCACCGATGATAATAGTTGAACCCAGGCAGGGAGGAGGCAGCTGTGGATCCAAAACCACGCCGTTCCTCCAGAGGGAGCTAATTGGCACTCACTGGCTAAGCTTTCCCTACAGCGGGAGTAGGAAAATTGTAGTAGTTTTAGCATTTCGAAAACCATTATTCTTTTTTTTCCCCTTAATAACATGCATACGTAATAGGCGCTCATCGTGGCTTGCTTTTTTCCTTGCAATTAATAATGGGCACACAGTTCTTTAAAAAAGAAGAAAAAGAATGACATTTGCATGTCTTTTGATGAAGAGCCCTGATCTTGATGGAGGCAGTCATATTTGTAAACACTTTGTGATCAGAAGAACTAATTGCCCTCACAACCTTTGAGCACGTGTGCTGATAATGCAGTCTCTGTAAAAACATTTGGGGATGTTTGCAGACCTGTATGAAAGGAGAGAGTTTGTGGATTGAGACAGGTTTGGCTACAGATAGAAAGACTGACACTGTACCCTTCTCCCTTCCTGGGGGCCCCCTTTCTCTTTTTATGTTTATTAGATACATTTCCCCCAGAATAACATTTGATTTGAGAGTTGAATTTAAAAAAAATACAACCAGCCAATTTTTTTCTGTCCCTGTCTATGTGTTTGTGCAGTTAAAAAGAACCTAACAGACAAGCCTGTTTTAAGTTTTTACCTAAGTTGGCACCACCTACATTTTCCAAGTAAACGAACCAAACATGCCAGTGTTATTTCCCAAGCATCTGATGTGTAAACGATTTCTCTTGGATTTCTAGGGATGGAGTTAACGTTTAACTACAATTTGGACTGCCTGGGGAACGGGAGGACAGAATGCCACTGTGGAGCAGATAACTGCAGTGGGTTTCTCGGAGTGCGGCCAAAGGTTAGTTGTTCCAGATGAGAAAGCGTTTGGGGGCAAAAATCAGTAAATAAAATGATGTTGCACCTGACTAAATAGTCCTTGGGTTTACTGGTTGGGAAAAACAGGGCCATCTCACCTTCTTTCATCTTCTAACTTTCCCACATATTTCTATAGGGCCAAACATAGAGGTTTGTCTGAGTCATTTGCTGTTATGTCTTTCCCTTTGTTACATTACGATACCTGCATTTTCAGATGCCCGTCCTTCCCCTGTTTCATACACATCAGTAATTTTAAATTGTGCAGTGCTGTGATACAAAGGAAGGAAGGAAGTGCTTCAACCTTTCGAACAGGTAGAAAGAGGTGGCCTTTGAGACTTTGTTGGACTACCGTTTCCATCAGACCTAGTCAGCCTGGCTAGTGATGAGGAACGATGGAAACTGGAGCCCAACAATGTTGGGGGAGCCACATTTTCCCTGCTCCTGTCTTAGAAACAGCAGAAGGGCTGCAGTGGGTATTGTCTTTCCTTTTCCTGAGTCGAATCTCTCTAACCTTGTCTTGCTGTGACTTCTCCTTCCCACGGCCAGACGGCGTGTGCGACGGCAAATGAAGAGAAGGCCAGAAACGCAAAATTGAAGCAGAAGAAACGGAAGATAAAAACAGAGCAGAAGCAAATGCATGAGGACAACTGCTTCCAGTGTGGGGACGGGGGTGAACTGGTCATGTGTGACAAAAAAGACTGTCCCAAAGCGTACCACCTCCTCTGCCTTAACTTGACCCAGCCACCCTTCGGTAGGTGCCTGACGACGCTCCTTTGCACTGTGTTCTTGGCAGGCTGAACCGTGGTGGGGCAACTTTGTCTCTGTATTCGCCGGCCATAGAACAGCCTTCGCCAGGCAATTTTTTTTAAAGGGGATGGTACTTTACAAACCAGAACAAAGTGCTTCTACTAATGGCAGGAGGCAGTGACTTCGCACTGGGCGCCACATGTTCCTCCCCAGATCTCTAGTTTCATGCCAAAAGCTCTAGCTATGATGTCCAAACTTGACCCTGTTTGAGGACAGCAGCGCCTGGCATTGTGCGTTTGGGGAGGTGTCGCATAGCACCGAAGGATATAACCATGTTGTTAGAACTGCACAAACATCGTACGTGGTGAGTGGGTGAGGGGATGTCTGTGAAACCTTTCACACAGCCTGAAATCTTTGAGTTGAGTTTGCCATGAAATGTGTGACTCACCTCCACTTGAAAAACATTGTTTTTCTTGAAATTAATGACATGATGAGCATAATTCCCACACAATTCCCGTATCTTTCTTCTGCTTAGCAACTGTTTTGAGTTAATGCCTGAGTCACATTGCCGGGGCTATCTAATGATGCTCTTATTTTGGGGCCCAGACTGAAGCTAGCTTATTTATCTCTTCAGCTCCGTTCTCGCAGTCACATTATTCCAACTCCCATTTCAGACAGGATAGAAAGAATATTTGGTCCCCTCTTTTTCTTTGCCTTCCAGTATCCTCATACCAGCTCGCACTTCACTAATATTTATTTGTTAGTTAACTTTTATGTCCCGTCTTTCTTCCAGTGAGCTCAAGGTGCTGTGCATTGCTTCCCTCCCGCACGCAATCACTTTCTCCTCATAGCAGTCCTATGAGGCGAGTCAGGATGAAAGAGAGCGGCACAAGGCCACCCTGTGAGTGTCACGATTAACTAGAAGCCAGCTCTCCCTCTCCAGTCCTTTAAACATTACAGTGCACCAACTCTGCAGCTTGATTTGGTTTTGGAATGAACTAAGGAAGGGGAGGGGGTGGGTTCCATTTATTCACCCAAACAAGTTGCCTGCTATTCTCCTACCATAATCTGTGAAATCTGAGTTTATGACAGGACCTTAGATAACTATTTGGGGGTTTTGGGGTTTTTTTCTGGTGATGATCTTTGCTCGTTTTGGCCATTCTCATCAAACATTGGAGCAAAGATCATCACCAGACCCAATTGTTTCAATTCACCTTTTCTGAGAACTTAGGAGTACAATTCATTGTGTCTTACTTTCTCTGCATGTGCTAGAGATAAATTTAAGACAGTTCTTGAGTTTAGTCATATCAGGAGATTAAGATTAGGGCCAGCGCTGTCGTTGGACTGTATGAGAAAGAACCATCGCCCTATCTGTTTTCCCATCTCCTTCCTCCCTTTACAGCATGATTCAGATAATTTATGTCCTGTTTAGTATATCCAGATTCATAACAACAAGCTATTAAGTGGGAGTCTAGGTTGCTTTCCCTTGCCTTTAAATACTCCCATTAAGTGAGAGTCTAGGTTGCTTTCCCTTGCCTTTAAACCATCAAACTTTGCTTCACTCTTGATTTCTGAACCAGAATCTTAAAGTAGCTTCAAACTGTAGTTTGAAATCCTGGTTTTGAAGGGCAAAACCATCATTTCCTGGCTTGGACTAGTAGCCAACCATGTCTTTATGTTAAGGAGAAAAGGATCAATGGAGTCAGAATACCTCAAGTGTGAGGAGTGTGGTGCACAAGCCCAGCATGGCCAATGACTAAGGGTGTCTCAGCAGCCCAGTGGCAGGATTCCTTGTTGTTTGATGAGATGTTTAACATGGCTCCGTGCAGTCGTGTCATTCTGTGTGGATCTTCCAAGTTCCAGATCCTCCTCCTCTTGACGCTCTGGACACCCTAAGGTCTGAAGTAATGGATCTTTTCTGTCTCTTCAGGGAAATGGGAATGTCCGTGGCACCAGTGTGACATCTGTGGCAGCCCAGCGACATCCTTCTGCGAGTTCTGCCCTCATTCGTACTGCAAGGATCATGAAAAAGGAGCCCTCGTAGCCTCCGCCTTGGAAGGGCGCCCTTGCTGCTCTGAACACAACCCCAAAGCCCCCGTGGCGCCCGAGTACTGGTGCAAGATCAAACGCCGACTGGAGCAGCAGAACCCCGAGGAGGAGTCGAAAGAGTGAACTCATCTTCCCTTCCCAGCCAAAACAAAAAAAACAAACTCTTTGAGCGGCAAATCATTGTGAATTTGGATCAAGTGCCATGGGACCTTTGTCTTTGGAACTGCCTCCGTGGAACTCAAACCGGGACCATCTAGATCTCGAGGCGGCTGGTACGGGCACGGCACGCCAGCCTCCGTTGGCCCTCGGGTGTCTTCTTAGGTTCTCGGAGAACAGGAAGAAAGTGTCTCGGCAACTTTCTGTGGTTGCTGTTTGAAGAGGAAAATCTATCTGACGTCGAGGGGGGAGAGGGGGAAAAAAGACATCATGTTTTAAGTACGTTCTTTGAGTGTAGAAACCAAACATAACAAAATATTTATTTATTTAATTTTTAATGGACTTTAGAGGATTTTTTTTCTGGTCCTATTGCAGTCAATGTGTCTAAAAGGAGTAGCAACACCGCCCTGGTATCTATCGCTGTATGTATCTGTATTTCCGCCCCCCTGCCCCCCAAAAAATCCTTGTCTAGGTTTAGAACTGTTAAGAAAAAGCTACTCTTCATACCAGTCGCCTTTCAGAGAAATCTGTGGAAGAAATGAATAACAAACATATTGTGGCAGCTGACAGTGAGAGGACTTCATTCCAGTAAGTTCACCATGGAAGAAAATTTTGAGACGAGAAGATGCTGTATGTCAGTTAACTTTCCAGAGAGTGAATCTTGATCATGATACCAGAGGTTCTCCCGCAGTGAACGACAAGGAATCCAGTTGTTTTTAAAGTGTGTTCGGTTTGACATGACGCTTGGAACAACTTCCAAAAAAAAAAGCACCATACAGAGGGCAAGAACTTACATATGGTGTTTGAAATCCCACCTTTGTTTCGAAAAAGCTTGGGCAGGAGATGCTTATGATGGGCTGTGTCCATAATAATCTGCCATTTTTAGTGTGAAAAGCTGTAAGCAGCCTGGGGAATATCATATGTTTTGCTCAGCACACCGTTTAATTATGCATATGTCACTTTTCTACTGTTAATGAATTTTGGGGCGAAGAAGTGGGAAATCTGCTTTTCTTGCCCATTGCAAGTATTTGCCACCCCCTGGGGATCAAAGTCAGCGCTTTGTTGCCTTCTCCGTTTTTGCTCTCCCCCTCATCTCGAGTCCCGTGTGCTCTTTCTTCTGTGGATCAAGTGCATCAGGAGTTGTAATCTGGCCCCTTGGGTTTTCCAGAGTAGACATAGTCTAGATGGGCGGGATACAAATCTAATAAATAAATAAATAAGAACTAGAGAGTTGAAGATGCTGTACGATTTGGATCTTCTTTCTGGGGCTTTGTAACTGTTTCGGTAGGTGGTTGGTCAAATGAAGTCTCTCCACGGAGGAAGATCAGTCAGTCTAGAAAAGCATCATGTGTCTAGATGGTCCAGAAAACCTTGTGTTTGTTCGTTGTTCTTTACAGAATGACAGTACAGCACTGAAATAACTATTTTAACGTATTGTTTTCTCCTGGAGGGGGTTCTCTAAACTTCCTTTTCCTTGCAGTGTCAAAATAATGAATTCCTGTGACAGCATTTATCTTCAGAAAATGGACAGTTGGCAGGTTTCTTGTGTTCCTCAATCAGGTTTTTTTGAGTAGGTATTTTATCTTGCTTTTAAAATGCCTGTAATCTAAGGGAAAACAAAATACAGCCTCTGTTTACTTCTTTTGTACAGGCTTAAAAATAATTTTAACACACTACATTTCTTTCAAGCACATGAGAAATCTTTTTAGCTTCTGGGTCAGCTTGTAGTCTCGCTCTCGTTTTTCTTTTTTAGCCCACAGAATACCTTGCGATCACGATGCATGTTCCTGAAGTCTTTTGTGGGCCAGTTGAATGATAGCAGGGCACAACAGGAAGATGCCAATCATTCATTACACTAAAGGAAAAATAAACACTACATTTAAAAAATGTGTATTAAAAGTTAAGAGTTTAGTTTCTGAATGTATTTTCTGGTAGTATTTCCTTATTCCTTCTATCTCCTTCTCTTCCTTTTAAAAATGGTGGTAGTGGCAGAATAGCAGAAGGGGGGAGGATTTGGCCCCGGTCTAAAAGCCTAATATTTTCACCACAGCGTTTATAGAACTGTTCTTGCCCTCTTTGTAAAGCTGGTGGGCGTGGAATGGGGCAAGGATGGCACATAAACACACTCTGCCATGCTGTCTTCTCCATCCTCTTCTGTCACTTAGCAAGGATGGGAATGCACAGGTCGTTTTCCTGACAGTGCCTTTTGAGAGCCAGTCTTTTCACTGGGGTCAGCAAAAGATGCCAATAAAATTACAGGAAGGGGTTGAAATGCAGCACCTAAATGGCTGTAGACAGGCTACAGGCATTATAGCATCCAAGGTGGGGGCGATCTCATGTGCCACCCAACTTTAGCTCTTCACTTGCATCTTCCTCCTCCTGCCTCCGTCCCTCCCCACCTTTGCCTGCACATCTCAGCTATCACACACAGCTTTCAACTCCAGGCTTTTCATGTAGTTGAGAAGCATGTAATAATCTCAGAACTGGAAAGGACCCTATCGATCATTGAGTCCAGCTTCTGTCAAGGAGGCCCAGTGGGGAATTGAACTCCCAGCCACTGGCTCTGCAGCCAGGGACCTCAACCCCCGAGCTATCTAGCTGTCGTCATCACCCTGAGCCAATACTGGAGTTGTACCTAGCACCATTCTTGTGGCTTGCAAGTCACTTTAAGAGCAGTTTTGTAAGAATATATCCATAGGCACTCCACTACAATGTCACCCTTACAGAAATGTGCTAAGAAGAGAAGAAAATATTCTTTACAAGAAGAATATCCATTAGGTAGAAATGTTTCAGATCTTAGATGGACTGATCGTGAGTGTTTTTACACTTTAATTCATTATTCTTAATTTTAATGTCCAGCACTTGTTTTTTTTTATTTCAAAAATTGCTACTGGAAAGCCAGTAGATCTTTTTGTTGTTGTTGTTGTTAGAAAAAAAGAAAAGCTGCTGCTTCATATAACATTTTAATAGTGTTACAGAAATACTAATCATGGAGTAAAGAGTTTCTTACTGTGATCAAGACTGGTATCTATTATTCTTAGTTTTTCTCTATCCCCTTGCTCCCAATTCTAACTATTTATCATGAACTTGTTTCTTTTAAAATGAGTGATTGAAAGAACACTCCTTACTGGAGGTGGGGTTTAGTTGACTGAAGAGCATTATGTCCTAAGACTGGCCTTCTTGTAAGACATTCCTGAAAGACAACCCACCCTTCATGCCTGTTGGTGTTGCAGCTTTACCTGGAAAATGCCCCCCTTCGCCTCTCCCACTTATTTCTAACTACATGTAAGATTAATCCATCAGATTGTCTTCAAGCAGCTAGTACAGTTCTCAAGAACATCATGCTTCCAATCCTGAATGTATTTACAATAGGAATATCTTTCCCTGTGGCTGCAAATCTGTGCCCTCTTTAATTGGGAATGAATTATGTTGAGCCTGAAGGCAATTATTTTAAAGTGAAACATGTAGTCAGTGGGACTTACATCTGAGTAGACGTGGATGCTCTGGTAGCCTGGATGCCTAAATGCTGGTCTGAGCTCTATGTAGAACTGGTTAAGGCTTGCTTTACTCCATGGATGGAGTATGTGTGTTACCTGAAAAGTGGAATATTTGCTGATTTCCGTACTAGAATCATGCACTTCTTTGTTCTTCTTACCTTAGCCATTAAGATATAAGAACAGAAAATGTTTTCCGCCCAGGGTTGTTATCTGTAGAGTACGGAAGTCTTGAGGCTGCATTTTTTCGTCTTTCCATTCACCAGAATTCAGGGTGGCTTCTCCCACTGTAGTTTCAATGGCAAAGATGCACTTCCATAAGGAATACTGCTTTTCTGCAAGCGCATGAAAAGGTACTGTGCCAACTGAAATCATGTGCATTTCTCTTCAGAGAGTATAATAAAAGTCGTGATGCTGCAGCTATGCTCCCTGGATGTCAGCCAGGTCATATCATGATGAATATTGTCCTGTATAAGGGAATGTGTATCTGTGGAAACACATACGGGTTTGTCCGTCTGTGTTTGAGTTACATATTTCTAGATCTGTAGCTTCCCCATCAAACATTATGGTGTTCACAGCACACACAAGCAGTGGACAATCAAGAAACAGTTCTGGTGTAGGAACAGCAGCATTACTCGTAATAATAATTAACATGTCTTGGATCATGTTTTAGGGAATGGAGTAAGAGCGATAATTTTTATCTTTTTGTTCGTTGGGCGAATCTGGCCACTTAAATTGCCATCTTGCACTGCTTTTTCACCCATTTGTTTCCAGAATGGGTATGACTTCAGGCTGTTTAATTTTTAAAAAATCAGAGACTTGAATCTCTGGCCTCTTGCACACTAATAGCAAATGTTTTTTTTTTTAAAAAACAAGTGTTTTTTATGTACTATCTGATATTTTTCCCAATGCATTTGGGACACGGACACACTTGATAACATGGCATTTCAGCAGTTCGCAGCTGTGCATCTCTGCAGATAAAATGTAGAGTGAGAAACGAGACTTTTAACACTTTTTAACAAAAAGTAAAAGGCAAGGAGTGGGTGCATCACTTGTCTTTGCGCTTGGACTCCTCTGACATATACAGGTAATATCAGGAAGATGTAATTAAGTAGAATATCGTTGGCAATGGCCTTCTAACCATAGATGACTGTATATACTGAGAAGTTATGGGTGGGGTTTGGGAGGGGTGGAGTGTCTGCCGCTGGTACAGATTTTAGTCACTTTAACATTGAAACTTCTGCCTCACTGAATTCAGGGTTTAATGTACTTGAAGCCGTTTCCATTCTTACTTTAAAACATGTGTTTTATTTATGTGTTTTATGGGTTATTGTGAAAGTATCTTTTCCCATCTTATCATGGAATCTAAAATTGATTTCCGTTCCAGTTGCATTTCCAAATGAATTGGAAAGTGTGTGTGTGTCTGTGTGTGCGCGTGTGCACACGTGCGCATGTGTGTGCCCATTTCCTGGGCTCGTAAGAAAGAGTTCCCACAGGGAGACAGCAGCAGCGTTATGACTTTCCAACGTGATTACTTGCAATGTTGAATTAGCCCTTTCCCTTTTTTTTCCATTCCCTTTCACACGTTTCATGAAAAAAAATGCACTTATTGAAACACTCCTGGATGTATGATGAATTGTTGGAGGGGGTGAAGTTGGCGAAATAGCCTCCTGTGCCATTCTGTTGTGCAAAAAAAAAAAAAAAAATCCCATCGACGATGTAACTGGTGGCAGAAGCTCACCCTTGGTTCTCAAGAGAGGATAAGAAGAAATGGATGAAGGCTTTCTTTATGCAGAAGCCTAGGAGCACAGCTGGTCAAAAACTAGTGCTTTATGCATGTGTTGTTATCACTAGGGTTTGTGCAGAAATTGCATGTGTGTAATTGAGGTGAATGAAGTCCAACACCAGTGCTTCTTAAATTGCATCCTTTTCTCCAGGTATAACTTCATTACAAATGAAAGAATACTGCCACCTTGCCAAAGCAGTGCCCCAATTCACTGCTTCCTATTCGTAGTATTAATAGCCGTTGTACCTAGAACCTAATGTGGTGTTTCTACCAGGTGTTTTTTCTTCATTTGGAAAAGTTAGGTTGGTGTATTGAATCCTCTTCTGAGTGACTGCCCTGCATCCCTAAGACTGGACATCCTTAAGGAATTATTTCTCAATAAGAACTAACTGGAGGAAAATGTCGTGTTGACTTAATATCAATTCATGTCGCTCTGTTATCTAGTTCATGTCATTCCTCTGCTGGTTGTGTTGGGTTTTTTTGTCATTTTTTTTTAAGCAAGTAACTTGTGTTACCATTGAAAATCAAGATGGAAAATAGCTATTATGGCTGGCTAGTAACAAGACTGTGTCTTTTTATTGTTTATAAGGGTATGTGCTTATTCCAGGGTTGCTATTAAAAAAAGAAAAAAGAAAATCCATTTGTACCCATCCGTGTGATATTGCACAAAGAACACCGATACCAACAATTTGTCTTCATTCCTGTGTACTCTTTATCTGTAACAACGACTTTGTAGAATTGTTATTTCTGTAGACCTTGTTACGATGTACCAAACTTTGTAGATTCTGTGAAATGTTATTTTAACAGATATCACCAGAGTCTTTAATAGCAAAATCATTGATATTCACTTAAAAATCATTATCTTAGGAGTTTCTTTAAACCCAGATAGAAGCTCTGAACACTAATGAGTGGTGTTAATTTTCCCTGGGGGTGTTCCATGGGGACGTTACTGTATTATGACTTGATGTTGCTGCGTAGACTTTGAGACTTTAACAACATTTGGGAGGGTTTTGTTGTTTAGCCTACGTTTTCTTGCATAGTGTGAAATCTATAAAGCTTGGTTAACCTGTATATAGATAGCTCATTGTTTACTAGTCACAGTGTATCTAGAATTGCCTGTAATATTTTAGCTTCTTATTGAATGTGAGTGATGGTAGGAACATATAATTTTTGTACATTATATTTACTGAGATGTTGCCTTTTTTATTTTACAAATACTTTGGAATTCAGATGTGTTTTTGCTTCCGTGAGAATTAATTTGGAAAGGTTTTTAAAACGACATTCCACTGATTTAAATCTTTGCTTGAGGTTGACTTCAATAAATTGTTCTGAATGTTCCAATTATGTGACTTAGAGTGTCCACTATCTTTCTGGCATAATGGTTTTTTTGAGAATAGTCATTTATTCCTCCTAACAACCCAAGTGTTGGTTAGTGCTTTTCTGGTGACAAATGAGATAAAATGGCAGGACATCACTTGCCATGCTTGGCGTACTTGGAGTCCAAAAGATGGAACGACAAAGAAAAACCTTGAGCGCAGAGAGTTCAGAAAGGTGACGCAGATGATCAAGTGCAACACTGGGGCATCTAATAGCTCTCAACCTATACTGTACATAATCAATCCCTGGCTCAATTTGGGGAGGCTTTGGCATGCTCAGTTGCCAGATGTCTTATTTGTTAAAATGTCTAAAGCCAAAATTTGGCCTCCCAGAATCTTGAGGGGAGGGAGTGTTAGTTTCTGTTGTAGGAAGGAGGCGAGGAGACCTTTTATCCCAATTTCTGACTCTCCTGTCCCTCCCAATGCAAGAAAGCCTGAAAAGGAGACGATGAAGGGGAAAGTGGATTTCCAGGAAGGGGAAGGGTAACAGCCGCCTTGATAAGAAGATGGAGATTTGGATGGGATGTATCTGGAGGAGAGTCCTGAGGTAAATAACGGGATGCTGTGTGCTCCGGGGCATCCTTAGCATCTCTGTTTGTTAGCAGCTCCTGCTAAGGGAGAATGTGGAAGTGGTGAGGTCTGAGGGTGGCGATTTTAAAGAAAATTTGTGAATGAGCTCTGTCTGCAGTGTGATGTTTTGAGAGAATGAATGGAACTGTGAGTCGGAAGAGAACGTCCTGTGGTGTTTGGTATCCTGGGGAAGGGATGGAAATTGGTAATACCTGGAGGTCCTTAGCAGGACCACTAAAGAGCTAAAGGGAGAGTCTCTGAAGAAGCCAATGGACATTTGACTGGGAATCCCCTCCTGAGAGACCAGTAAAGTGGAGGAAGCAAAAAAAAAAAGGATAAGTACACCTAGGGGTACCTTTTAAGCAGAATGAGAGACGGAAAGGGTGATTAGTAGAAGAAGCTATTACTTAGGTGGGTGTACTGGGAAGACTAGGAATTGGGGTGGAGGGAGGCAAATGACATAAAATATACAGTAATTCAGGCTTTGGAGAACAATTGCATCTAATGGTCACCTAAGGGAAACCAGGGAGGGGACGTATGTGTGAGAATTTGATTCTCCCTTGCCCCATATTATAATTGGGGTTTGTCCCCGAGTAATACCTTGCCGACAAAGATCCGCAAAGTCAAAGCTATGGTTTTTCCAGTAGTGAAGTATGGAAGTGAGAGCTGGACCATAAAGAAGGCTGACCTCCGAAGAATTGCTGCTTTTGAACTGTGGTGCAGGAGGAGGCTCTTGAGAGTCCCCTGGACTGCAAGGAGAACAAACCTATCAATTCTGAAGGAAATCAACCCTGAGTGCTCACTGGAAGGACAGATCCTGAAGCTGAGGCTCTAAGATTTTGGCCATCTTATGAGAAGACTCCCTGGAAAAGATCCTGATGTTGAGAAAGAGTGAAGGCAAGAGGAGAAGGGGACGAGAGAGGATGAGATGGTTGGACAGTGTCACTGAAGCAACCAACATGACTTGAACCCAACTCCAGTGGGAGGCAGTGGAAGACAGGAAGGCCTGGCGTGCTCTGGTCCATGGGGTCACAAAGAGTCAGCTATAACTTAACAGCAAAGCAACAACAATAAGGTAAAGGTAAATGTTCCCCTTGACATTTAGTCTAGTTGTGTCCGACTCTAGGGGGTGGTGCTCATCCCCATCTCCAAGCCATAGAGCCAGCATTTGTCCAAAGACAATTTCCTTGGTCATGTGGCCAGCATGACTAGACATGGACCACTGTTACCTTCCCACCAATGTGGTACCTGTTCATCTACTGAAATTTGAATGCTTTTGAACTGCTAAGTTGGCAGTTCATCTATTGAAATTTGAATGCTTTTGAACTGCTAGGTTGGCAGGAGCCTAGACTCTGAGTGGAAACGCATGTCTGTAGGTGAAAGGGGGGGATTCTATTTCAAGACAATTAATTGATAGTTTAAACTAAGGTGCAGTTGTTAATATGGAATATGTGTGAGAAATGTTCAGAATGGAAATATAAATTCACATAGAAAATCTGGCAAATTTTGGAATGTGAACATGATGACTTATAAAGCTAAGCTCTTCCTCATATAAAAATTAGTCAAAAGAGTAGAATGTCGTGCCTTTGTATCTACTGACCTTTAAAACAAAGCACCAGTCAAAGCAAGATTTTTATGGCTTTGTTGTTATGTGCTGTCAAGTCGCCTCTGAGTTATGGTCACTCTGTGAATGAGAATCAACATTGCCCATAGCTGGCAATGTTGGCATGGAGGAGATGAGGGAGGGGAATGGAGCATTCACACTAGAATGCATATATGACATTTACTTCGAACATTTTGGACTGAGGGGGCATTCTTGCAAATTCCTACATGGAGGCATAGTAATATTTTTATTCCTAAATGTATTCCTACACATTCATCTCCCACCCAGCTTAGTGGGACCAGGACACTGGGTGGTTATACAGTATGAAATCAACCAATCCTGTACCCCCCACACAGACATATGCAAAGAATAGGAATAAGCCAACAAAGCCTACTGTAAAACAAAACAAACAATATCTCAAGAGATCCACCAGACTACCGGCTTATAGAGTATGAGGATCACAAAAACTGGGTGCATGCTTTCTAATGTTGTAAGTCGCCTTGGGTCCTCCTGAGGAGAAAGGCAGGGAATGAATGAATGAATGAATGAATGAATGAATGAATGAATGAATGAATGAACTATCCTGCTTTCTAGGGATAATTGCAAAGTAGAAAATCACAATGTTGTGTGGATTATTTTGTTGCCGTAGATGAGCAATGGCCATCACTCTGACTTCTCCCTCCCCAGAAGAAAACAGAGAAAACCGCCAAAGAATTGATGCTTTTGAATTGTGGTGCTGGAGGAGACTCTTGAGAATCCCCCGGAATGCAAGGAGAACAAACCTATCCATTCTGAAGGAAATCAACCCGGAGTGCTCACTGGAAGGACAGATCCTGAAGCTGAGGCTCCAATACTTTGGCCATCTCATGAGAAGAGAAGACTCCCGGAAAAGACCCTGATGTTGGGAAAGTGTGAAGGCAAGAGGAGAAGGGGACGACAGAGGACGAAATGATTGGACAGTGTCATCAAAGCAACCAACATGAATTTGACCCAACTCCGGGAGGAAGTGGAAGACAGGAGGGCCTGGCGTGCTCTGGTCCATGGGGTCACGAAGAGTCGGACATGACTTAACAACTAAGCAACAACAGTCTTGACATTGTGTGTTGTTTACTGCTCCACCTAAAATGACACAATTCAACCTGTAGGTGTCACCCGCCATCAAGCTACAGATACGACTCACATATTCTCATGGGGCAAATATATTATCTCCCATTGAAATATCTAAACTTGTACCTAGTGTAGGATACGAAAATTGTATCTCTGCTTTCTCTCTCTCTGTCTTCCCAGCCTTGTGCTATCACTCACATCCCCTTTGGCTAGTGTTAAGGGACTCTTGATTCCTTTTATACAGGCCAGATATTTCCTGCCCCACAAATGCTGCAGGAGCTTAACTTATCTTTCCTGCACACCTCCTCAATTTAAAGGCAGAATGTCCCTGCTCCACCACGTCCCCCGATCTCGAAACTCTTCAAAAGCTGAAGTTCAATGGACCCATGAGATCTTCCAAAGTGATCAATGTCTTTATGTTTTTGAGTTACAGTGAACCTTTCAAGGGAAAAGTATGGACATTCATCTCTTTCAGCTCAAAGGAGTGAAAACGATGTCCTTCCCTGGCCATAAAATGGTCCAACGTAGACTTATTTATCGCCATTGGTATTGTTTTAATTTACTATCTGACTATCTAATTTAATATCTGGTATGGTTTTCTAAATGCCTGCTTATCACCCTTCCTTGCAACATCTATAACATCTCCCAACTTTTTTCCAAATTTCCCCCAAAATTATTGTCAAGCTTTTCCAAACACACAACTTTGTGCCTTTCCATTCTTCTTTCCTTTACACACATCTATTGATGAGATGTATTATTTATTTTATTATTTGATATATTTGATTTCTATCCTGCTCATCTAGACTAAAGGTCTACTCTGGGTGGTTGATTCTTAGATTCCTAAAGCATTTATGTATTGTTACAATTAATAACCATTAAAATACTATGAAACAAAAAATTCTCTGTAAAATAAGGCTGGAATAAGTAATGACAAACCCATTGCTAAAATAAAATGGGTAAAAACCAAAACAGGCTGCTGGGTAAATGACAGGCAAGTGAAAAGAGGAGAGAAACACAACAGGATTAAGAAGATTTTTAAAAAGAATTCAAGAAAACAGTAGATAGCTATTCACATTAGTTTAACATCATAAATATGAGTATTATTAAGGAAATTTTTTATCTTCCTCTGGAATTTCAAACTTTTTAAGTTATTATTAATTTAATACCTCTTCTGTGCATCAGAGTTTGGTGGCTTTCCTCTCAGACTCAGCTTAGGCTGGTGGCCTAAACAGGTTTTTGTGTACCTGCAAAAACTGAAGATCTTCCCAACACCAAAGTAGAATGATCGTTCATGAGCAGTTTTCTTTCTTGCTTGCTTGCTTGCTTGCTTGCTTGCTTGCTTGCTTGCTTGCTTGCTTGCTTGCTACCTCTTCTGTGCATCAGAGTTTGGTGGCTTTCCTCTCAGACTCAGCTTAGGGTGGTGGCCTAAACAGGATTTTGTGTGCCTACAAAAGCTGAATATCTTCCCAACACAGAAGTAGAATGATCGTTCATGAGCAGTTTTTTCTTTCTTTCTTTCTTTCTTTCTTTCTTTCTTTCTTTCTTTCTTTCTTGCTTGCTTGCTTGCTTGCTTGCTTGCTTGCTTGCTTGCTTGCTTGCTTGCTTGCTTGCTTGCTTGCTTGCTTGCTTGCTTGCTTGCTTGCTTGCTTGCTTGCTTGCTTGCTTGCTTGCTTGCTTGCTTGCTTGCTTGCTTGCTTGCTTGCTTGCTTGCTTGCTTGCTTGCTTGCTTGCTTGCTTGCTTGCTTGCTTGCTTGCTTGCTTGCTTGCTTGCTTGCTTGCTTGCTTGCTTGCTTGCTTGCTTGCTTGCTTGCTTGCTTGCTTGCTTGCTTGCTTGCTTGCTTGCTTGCTTGCTTGCTTGCTTGCTTGCTTGCTTGCTTGCTTGCTTGCTTGCTTGCTTGCTTGCTTGCTTGCTTGCTTGCTTGCTTGCTTGCTTGCTTGCTTGCTTGCTTGCTTGCTTGCTTGCTTGCTTGCTTGCTTGCTTGCTTGCTTGCTTGCTTGCTTGCTTGCTTGCTTGCTTGCTTGCTTGCTTGCTTGCTTGCTTGCTTGCTTGCTTGCTTGCTTGCTTGCTTGCTTGCTTGCTTGCTTGCTTGCTTGCTTGCTTGCTTGCTTGCTTGCTTGCTTGCTTGCTTGCTTGCTTGCTTGCTTGCTTGCTTGCTTTTTTCCTTCCTTCCTTCCTTCCTTCCTTCCTTCCTTCCTTCCTTCCTTCCTTCCTTCCTTCCTTCCTTCCTTCTTTTTTCAGGAGCATTTATGATTTATATTTATTTACTAACAAAATGCACAATTCCCTCCTATGCTTGAGCTATAGAGAAATAACCACGCATTTATGATTTCTATTTATTTACTAACAAAATGCAGAATTCCCTCCTATGCTTGAGCTATAGAGAAATAACCACGATGACCGGTCAAATGTATCTTGCACTTAAAAGAAGCCACGGGAGCAGGAGCAACAAGTGCTTAAGAAACAGATCCTAGAATCATAGAATGGTTGGAGGGTTGGAAGGGACTTTAGAGGTCTTCTAGTCCAACCCCCTGCCCAAGACGGGAGACCTCCTACCATCCTGGACAGATGGGTGTCCAATCTTTTCTTGAAAACATCCAGTGATGGGGCATCCACAACACTGGGAGGCAAGCTGTTCCACTGCTTCATGATGATCCAATCAAGGAAAAAGCACAGCATCAGCCTAAGTGAAATCTGATCAGAGAACCTCCTTGTTGATGGGGCACCCACAACATTAGGAGGCAACATCGGGGGTGGGGGGTTGGCCATACAGTAGTTTTGATTATTCCAGTAAACAGCCTTGGACATTTCTACAGTAGGACTGCCGGTTCCTATCTGGCAATGCAAATGCGGCTTCTAGGTGAGCAGTGAGCATGATCACTCAATGACTACTAAGTTGTTAACACCTTGTAAGATATTGCTGGCTAGGTTATTGTTACATGCTGTCAGGTCACTCCTGACTTAGGGCGACCTTTTAAATGAGCCATCTCCAACACGTCCTGAACAGCCCCGTTCAACTCTTGCAAAAGAAAGCCTGTGGCTTTCTAGAGAGTCAATCCATCTCACATTGCATCTTCCTCTTTCCTTGCTCCCTTTCCCATTGCTGCTTATGAGCTAGTAAGAAATGCAGCCACGGAAATTTGACGGTAGTCCACATTGTGGAATGTGTCGTTCACATGTAAGTTTATTGTGTAATAAACATCTCTAGGAAGGTAAATGTCTGTATAAATGGAAACCCCTTCTTTCATGTTGGGATGGGGTGGGTACTGCCCTACAGAAAACATTCGCCTCCCATTTCCGACCCATAGTGCCAGCGGTTCTCAACTTTTTGCCCCTACAGATGTTTTACACTTCAACTCCCAGAAGCCTCACTCAGCCGAGCTAAGGGCCAGGAATTCTGGGAGCTGAAGTCCAAAAACAGCTGGAAAAGTTGAGAATTGGAGCTTTCTGCTACTGGAATGCTCTCTTTCCACCCGACTTTTATAATGTTTTTTTCGTGTAACCCGGCGTCTTTCCCCTTGCGTCTCCTTCACCATGTTTATGTGAAGGAGACCCTGATGTTTGTAATTTCCGTGAGACCTTGCTTCCCCCCCCCCCGCCCACGGAAAACGTTTGGGGGCGGCAGGAGTTTATTCGCCTTTTCAAAAGAAGGTTTTCTGCAACGTGTAGGCAGGGCAGACGGCCAAATCCTGATGATGCTCTTTCCCCCAGAAGTCAACGGCGCTTCGCGCGACTCCGGGCCTGACCGGCCGCTTCCTTGGCCACGTCAGAACGTCCTCCGCGAGCACGGTGGGCAGCCTGGAGGGGGTCGACACGTGTCTACCCCGCCGTGCGAAGGCGAAGCACGGCGGATCCAGCGTTGAAGGGGGCCGCCTGCAAAGCTTAACTCGGACGTGGGTTCCTGGGAGCACCTCCTTGGGCAGGAGTTATTTTAATGATTTCTAGGGGAGGGGATGGGATATCTCTCTTCCCCCCCCCCAAAAAAATCACACACAATCCTCTTGGGGATTTTCCCACCCTTCTCCCCCCCCCTTTCTGGAGCATTCCCCCTCCCCATCCCATGCCAGTCCCCTTCTTGGTTCATAGCAATCCAGTCTTTGCGCACCCCCCCAAACCAAGCCATCTCCGGGGATCCAGATGTTCCCAACCTCTGCATGCAACCCACATCCGGAAAGGGGGCGGGGGAGACAAGAGAGACTGCACCGGCCTCTGTTTTTTTCCCTCCAGACAACTCGGGGGTCTGGAATCCGTTCCCCTCTCCCTATTTTTCCCCCTTCCTTTTTTGGGTGGAGGGGGTGGCTGGGAGGGCAACGATCCCTTGGCGGCCCCCCCAGGACCTGTGCAGGTATCCCCCCTCTTCCCTCCCCCCGAAGGCAACCCTCAGCTTGACGATGCCCGGAGATCTTCATGCTTCTCTTCCCCCCCCCGCTTCCCCCATATTTTTTTCCTGAAAAGGTTCCAGGCTGAGCGAAATAGGCTCCGTTCTGTCCTAAAATGCCCTTTCCTGCCTCCTGCCCGTTCGCCAAACTCCCCCCTCCCCCGCCGACCAGTCAGCAAGAAGAGTTCGTCAAGGCTTCTCTCTACAGAACCCCACGGGGGTGGGGATGAAGGATGGAGTGGGGCAGCATAGAGAGATGGGGGTCCACTATGGGGTGGGGGGCAGGCTTTGTTTACATCCCCCATTTCTTGACGGGCAGAAAACTTTGGGGGAGAAGCTCCGATCATCTCTTGCCCAGGCTTCCTACCACCGCCATCTCTTCCTTCCTT